AGAAATCTCAGACTTGTTTCCCTGCGGGCCAGGACCTACTTTCCTGTCTCTACGCACGTTTGGCCACGATAATTGTTGGCGTACATCACAAGCAGCGGCAAAAGGAACTAGAAAAAGCACTTTGGTCGGCAGTGCACGACTATCAGATATCCGGAGCTTGTTTTCAATTACAAATAAATTATAAAATTGTTTTGTGTAGCGTATATATGCGTAGGCATATCAAATAACAAGTCTTTAGATTTTATTGTAATGGAGATGGGTGAGGTAAAACAGCGGAGGGACAGACCATATACATAGAAATGCTTGAAGTCAAAGCCTATGATTGTATGTATTACCTATATTGCTCTATAAGCCAATACACCCTGCCTGCACTATGGTTGCAGGGTAGAATTGTTGTATTTTATATATCAGTAAGAAATGTAAAAAATATGTCTGTTAAAGCAAATGGGCTCATTCAAAGGCCCATTCCTGAGTGTTGATGTGGAGGCCTTAACATTATTTTTTCTCTCGCCTGTTTGGACGCATAATTGAAATAAATATCTCGTCGCATGGATATACTTATGTACGCACATATATAAATAAATATACATGTTTTTTGTATTTGTTTTTGGTTCACTCACTTGACAACGAATGGGAACCTTTTCTTATTTTCTTCTATTATTCTTTATTATTGCCTTACACTGTTTCTTTTCTCGGTGATGAAAGCAAAATAATTTGAATGAATGAAAAACTCGCAAACATATGCTAGATGAGAGAATTCGTGGAAAATTTTGTTTATTTTCTCCATCGTTACTAAGTGCTTCTCGATTATGCAGTCTGGGCGTGCAATATTTTAATTGCTACGGAATTCCTAACGCGTAAGCAAGAAAAGCATTCTTTTGTAATAGAAACACCAAAACAAAATCACTAACAAAAATAATTGAATATGTCTATCACGTGCAGGAAATGGAATCTAATTGAATTTGTGACAATAGAGGCCTGGAATTTTCTTTTTGAATTTTGATATTTTATGCCTATAATATGCATAAAGAGCAAACTTAAATAAAATATTTTAAATTACTTAAGTTCAACAATTTTTAACTAATAAAAAAAATTACTATTTTAAATATTTTATTTTATTATTTTTTAAATTATTATTATTTATTAAATTAGAATAATTTATTATTAATTTTATTATTAATCAATTTATCATTTTCCCTTTTTAAATATTTACTTATTTCCATTCATTTATTATATTTCTTTCTTTTGAATCGTCTCAAGAAGTTTTTAAATCTCATCTCATTTGGCGCGCTTCTCTTGCACACACTTCGGTGCTATCGTGTTATCGATATTTGATCTGACATGCGCACAAGCATCGATACTGGAGTCAGCTGTTCACTGCGTGTGTACTCATTCAATATGGCGTTGTTTTGTAAAATTTTATAAATGTTTGTTGAGCATCGCAGTGTAAAATAAAAGGAAGAGCTCAAGATATTTAATAATTTCTCGTCAAGTAATAAAAATAAAACGAAACAAATCAAAAAGACCGGCCGGGAGGTAGAGAGAAGAAAGACTTGAATTGACGTGTGAAAAACAAAAATTGAAAATTGTGTTTGTTTTTGTCGGCGCCGGCGTAAATTTTCAGGCGCCAAAAAAGTCAGAAAACAATAAATAGAAGATGGAAGAGGAAATAATGCCCGCGGCTACCACAAATGGCATGACAGCAGATAAAGTTGAGGCGCTGCTAAACGAGAAGGAGGCGGAGGCCTGCAAAGCCGCAGAAGAAGAGGAAGCACTTGCTGAAGAGGTGGGCTGAGTGGGAGGCGGGGTTTGCCAGAGCGAAGCACAGCAGTAAAAATATTGCTTAACATTTTCTAGGGCAACGCAATGATTCAATACGACGGCCAGGCAGCAGCTGTGGAGGAGCAAGAGGAAGAGCACGAGAAGGAGGTGGAGGAGGAAATGGGTGAAGCTGAATATCTAGAAGATGAAATGCCCGATGAAGAGTGTGAGAGCGAGGGGGAACTAACAGCAGGAGCAGATGTTCAAACCGATAAAGGCGCCACAGCAACAACAGAAGCACAGGAAACAACAGTCGAACGAGAAACAGAAACAGTGACGGAGGCAGACGTCGTGGCAGAGGTAGACGCAGAAGCAGCAGACGTACCAGCAGAAGCAGAGGCAGAGGCAGAATCAGCAGTCGAGACGGAAGCTGAGACGGAGGCTGATGATAAGGAAGCCACTGTTGACGATGTTGGAGAAGAGGCTGAGGATGAAGCTGAGCAAGAACCTGAAGAGCAAGAAACCGTCGAAGATGAAGTTGTAGAAGAGCTGGTAGAAGAGGCGGTGGAAGCCGAAGATGAGGGAGAGCTAATCACAGGCGACGATGCACAGGAAGAACAAATGAACATCAGTGCGCGCTCGGGCGCTCTGGCTGAAGAAGTGGACGAGGTACAGTGTCGAGTCTGCACCAGCAAAGATCAGCTAATCAGTCTCTTTACGAAGACCAGTCAGGGGAGCGTGCCTGTTGACATGCTGCTGCTCCTCTGTCCGAGTGTTTCCATAGCGCTGAAGGACTTTATGCCGCAGTTCATATGCAGCACCTGCTTGCAGAGTCTCAACGTTGCCATAAAGTTGCGCCAGCAACTGGAAAGTACCGAAAAAGAACTGCGCAAGCGTCTGTCGAGAAGCAAGAACAAAGTGCGCAGGCCGCGTGGCTATGTGGTCATCGATGCGCCTGTCTCTGATTCGGCCAGCGAGGAGGATGAGGAGGAGCTGAACGACGATGCCGAGTTTAAGGTCTCCGATGTGGCAGGCTCCACCAGCGCCGACAGCGACTCGGCGGACACGGACATTAGTGAAAAGCGAAGGCCGGGCCGACGACGTGGTCGCAAGAAGGGCACCAAACGTTCGGCTGGTGGCAACAGTCAGGACGAGGAGCATCAACGGAAGCGTAGCCTGCAAACCTCACCAGCTGCCAGCCAGGGACCTTTTGAGTGCGACCAATGCGATCTGAGTTTTCCCCGGAAGCAATCCTATGTGATGCATCGCAAGATGCACGATGCCCGGCACGAGTTCCACTGTCAAATCTGCAATAAGAAGTTCAAGGTGCGGGGCGCCTACAAGACCCACATGGAACGCCATGCATCAGAGCGAGCCCAGTTCCGCTGCGAGTTGTGCTCCCAGGTGTTTCGACTTCGAGCCGAGCTGAAGCGTCACATGGCACTCAGCCATGATGAGCACGGCATCATCTATGAGTGCAAGCGATGCCAGCTCACGTTCCTTACTCAAACGCGGCTGCAACGCCATCAGAGCACCGACTGCAATCGCCACTCGGAGCGCAGGGTCAAGCGGCAATCGACGGAAGGGCAGCCCAGCCAGGGAAGAGATCTATTCAAGTCTGTGGCACCTCTGACGACGACCTACTGGAGCGATAGCTTCTCTGACTAGGCTACCACAGCTCCAGTGGCCTTCTTTAATTTCATCTAAAGCTGTTCTATACAAATACAAGATGTATATTCCGGACAATTCTAACTGAAACCCCACATTGTGTTGTGTTTTATTAAAAACGAGCATTAACTCGGAAAACGTTTTGTGTGCACGGATAAGTGAGTCCTTCAGCAGTCCTGTATAGGCAGTCGCTCAGCTTTAAAGTAATTTTCAAAAAAGGCGTAGTAGCTCCAGTTTGGCAGTTGATAAATATGTATAAAGTTTTTATTACTGGAATGGATTACTACATCGGTCAGTTGGCGTAGGACTCGTCAGTTGAGGGTGATCTCAATGTAAGAAAATTTAATTTTATTTTCGTTTATATGTATGTGTGTCGTCTCTCTGCTACATGGGTGTGATTGAGTAATAGCTAAAAATTGACTTGAATGTAAGTTTTAGGCAGCGATTCTTATGAACTGAGTTAGGTTGATGAGTTGTTATGTGCGTATGCCAGGATTGATGTATGCATACATAGATGTGCGTAGACGAATATTTATATACATATTGATGTATGTATGTCTGTATTGATGAATGCGTATGTACATATTAATGAATGCATATATAATGATGAATGTATGTATATGTATTTATGAATATATATTCATGTGGTACTTATTATGTACATACATATGTATGAAAATGCATTATTTTGAGTAGGTTTTGGGCTTTCTTCGTAATACCACTCTGGTTAGTGGTAATACTTAGATCTGGTGTTGGCAGTCCATTTAGTTACTTTGTGGAATAATGTGTACATATATATAGTTTTATAACAATATTTAGCTAATACAAGGATAACTACGCCAAATGCAATGCGGATGCACATTATCTGCATTAACAAGGCTTTTCTTTTCTTATTATATCAGCCCAACGTTTATTAGCCTAACTGCAATTTATGCCACAATATTCAATGTTATTAAATGGATTATATAGATAGTTAACAGACAAACAGAGAGAGAGAGAGAGAGAGAGAGAGAAAAAAAGAGAGGAGGATGAGAGCTCGTAAATTGACTTTAAAGCCTGATTCAAAGCTCTGCAAAGCGACGCTAGTGTCCAATGCACATTGCACTCGTTGCGCGCTGCATTATAATAACAATAATGTTGTTGCATAATGTGCGTAATCACAATGTTAACTTAATGTTTGCCACAGTGCCATAAGGGCTTAACTGCCAGGATTATGTGCTTCAAGTTGCGTCAATTGAAGTCAGCCACAGCAAGAGGCAAACATTTCGCTCTTGCGGTTCAAACTGCTTGCCAAGACATGGGAGAAGTCTGCAGAGAATTGCATTTAACTGCACCGGTTGCTAGAAATATACAGCTCTAAGCATTCAGAGGAAAACTAGAGACTTTTGATTCTTGGAATGCAACATTGTATTGTATGTGGCTTTAATCAGACTGAAATGGAATGCAAATTATAAAGCTTTGATATTATTTATTTAATTAATTGTAGTACACCAATTTCACGAAAGTGAAATATAAGGGAAATTTGTTAAAAGAAAATTTCAGAATTTATTAAAAATCTAGAGCTAGAAATATTCTTAAAATGATATTAGTAATAATGAGAGCTAACTTTAAAAGAAAATCGTTTAACTTGAACTCATTCAGTGTTTTCTCTGAGTGTAACAAGTTATGTTTGACCCTGTTTTCCACTCTGACAAGCTTTGTTGTCAGATTTGTTGTTTGCAAAACTTTTGACTGAAGATATTTCGCTTGTTTTAAATGCAGAAGGAAACTTTTTGAGCATATTTATTTACAAAAGCAAAATAATGAAAGGGCTGAACATTAAAGGCTGCTTGGGTGGGGAAATACTAGAAGATAATTTTATCTGTGGGCAAACGAAATCAAATGCACGTGTTGACTGGATGCTGCAGCTGTTGCGCCATGATGCTCCTTGATGCTCAGGTCGCTGATGGCGCTCAGAAGTGATGAATGGATTGGTAGGTGGGCAGATGGTAGGAGATCGACGAGACCGGGTGCGCAATGAGCGGTGCATGAGAGATGAGCGGTGCATGCGAAATCAATGGCGCATGATGCACGATAGTGGGTGCTGCCACATAATGCGAGTGGGTTAACAGGGGCGCGTGATAGCCGAGACCCAAAGAAATGCCACGCTTGGCCTTGGCCGACGACTCAACCTGCTCCTGTTGCTGCGGCTGCTGCTCATCGGCGACGGGTGCGGCCAGGCTGCACGCGATGCCAGCAATCAACAATATTAACTACAGAGCCCCATTTGCATTTCGTATTGGGGTTTTGTTTACGCAGGAATCGTCGAATCGCACGGAAGGCAGACATGCGGAAAGCAAAAATAGAGAAAAATAACGAGAATATTTTAAATAGTGAAATTTTCCTACTTATTGCCTGTCTGTCCGTTCGTCCGCCCGCCTCTCCTTCTGTCCTTCTGTCCGTCTGTCAGTCAGTGCGATTGCCCACTCTCTTTGCAGTAATAACAAATGGGTCTGGCCAGCATGAGCTGAACTCCTGTTGAAAGTGACTGCCTCGACTTAATGATTTATGCAAGAAACTTGCTTATTTCTGAGCTTATTTTTTAAACAGCTTTGACAGCTTTAGAATAGAATAGAAATTCCTCGACTTTGCTCATCTATTATTTATATTTCATTAGGCGAAGTAAGATTGCAAGATTTTTGACAGATTTATGTTGTTATAATTTAGGTGTAGAAGTAATTGCTACGCACATCATAAATATTCATTTGCAGATTCTGTTTCCAGGATATTTTTATAACTACTTGATAAACTGACAACAACTCATGCACATATACGCAGTCACGTTCAGTTTACACACGAAAGAATCGATTATTATCGATTATAAGCAAAGATTGAAGATTGGAAAATATGTGTGTCTAGACGGACGGATGGATATGGCTAATTCGACTTAGCTTGTTTCTACTTTTCTGCCTTTTGCACTTAAAATTTAAAGCTGCTGCTTTATTTGTAAGCAGCTTACCTGAAAGTCTTTTTATTTAATTCTTATCAATTTTTTATCAATCTGTCAAAAACTTGTTTATAGTTGTACCCATTTGGTGTAGCCAACACACACTTTGTTTAATATTCTTCCCGAACACTTTATCAACGCCCCATCAGACATCAATCAAAGCAAACTCTATTCAGATAGTCTAATAAAAGTTTGTTTCTGGTGAAAAGTTTTTTAAACTGTTATCTGAACTTTTGTGAACTTTTTGCTCGTCGCTAACTTTTTCTCTTTCAATTGATTGCCTCAAGTTCAAGTTTCAACTTACAGTGAATTTCATAATGTAAAAGTTTTGGTTTGAATTGGCTCTTATGTGAGTTTATGCACTGCACTGCACTGTGTCTAAATATCGACTAACGAAATTTGTGATCAGAATCTGTTTATTTATACCATTTTTTTCGGCTGATCGAAACTCACTCAAAACTAAGTCAAACGCACTCATTAGGCAAAAACTATTTAGAGGCAACTAAAGAAATAGAAGAAAAACAACTGCGAGTGTTCCAGTGGGGAGTGCTCGACTAGCAGATATCCTGACATGGCTTAGAGCTGTTGTCTCAGTATAGCTGAGTCCCTTGTACTGTGAGTAGTCATATACAACATTTTATAAGTCTTGAAGTTGTATTGAAGACCCAAGTCGATATTTATCGATATATGTCTGTTTTTTAATCCTGGCCGCCATCTTCTTTGTTTTGTCTTTGAGGTACCATTGCCTGCAAACTAGTAAGCTCTGCATGCGCATTTCCTACTCTGTACAGGGTATTGTAAAATAGGAAAACACGCACATTCGTCAGTCAGCAAAGTAAGTAAAAATGCCCACATCAAGTCCAAATTGTTGCAAACGAGTTGTGCGTGCGATTGAGAGTGACAGACGCATAAGTATATATAGATATATACTGATGCATATATATTTATTTATTTATGTATGTATGTATGTGCCCGCACCATGTAAGCCACTCAGTTTGAGTGTGCATACAAATAATAATTTGTAATGTGAGCGGATCAAGTTAATATTTAGTGCATTAAATCGTTTCACCATACAAGAAAATTACCATTGTTGCATATGAATAATTGTTGAGCTCAGATATTTAATAATTTTACGATAAATTCATTGTTGTTTGCATAATTGATAAAATGTCAGAAGTTAAGGATTACCATCGAAATGCTTTTTGTTGTTATATAAAACATTTCGTAGCAATAAATGAGTTTGGTAAACCGAAATGTTTAATCTGTCTAATTAGCAATTTGCAATTTATTTTATTATTATTATTTCAATATTTATTTGATAGTTCACAGTTAGCCAAAGTTTAAGCTGGACTAATAATATCCATAATCATCTTTCAAAATAATTAGCCAGGATTGAATTGAAAACGTATTTGCTTTGTATTCTTTATTTTTATGATTAACTTAAATGTTAACTGTGTTAAGCTTTGGGTCATCTTTAATCTGTTTTAGCTGGATAAATTTCTTGAAATGTTCCTTGTTATAAATTGCATAATCACATAATTGTAGGCCTTAATTAGCTCTTAATCGTTTCTTAATGCAATCAACCTTAAAGCATCTATATAAAACGATGACCTATGTATTTAAATTGAAAGCTCTTGGCATTTGTTTTGTTTGGCATGAGTTTTATGATCTGAAAAATTATCATGACGCAAAATCTGAATGTTTAGCGCTTAAAGCGAAATACTTTATGCAGCCAAATGGCAATTTGTCCGCCATTCAAGCATTAAATTTATATGTCTTAATTTGTGTAAAGCATTTGGTGCCTTTGCTGTTGCTGGTGCTGTGGCACGTTGCTCGCCGCTCGCTGATAAATTTGGTCAATAAATTTCTATTCAATTCCATTTTTCATGGCTCTTTAAATCGAAATCTGTGCAATTTGCAAAAACCATTTGGCATTCGGCACTTTGTTGTCTTTTGCCTGTTGCAGCTGTGAATACGAAATTGAATTCCATTTTGGGTCCTTCACCTGCAGTGCCATTGTCTCTCCCAATAATTTGCAGTGCTATATGTATGTGCATAAACTTTGTTTTATTTTCCAGTATAATTACATTTTAATGTTTCGCAACTACGCTGAGGAATCATTAAAGCAATTGACGCTGCGGGACTGCCGCATGTATGTATGTATGTGTGTGTGTTTGAATATGCCAGCAGCTGCCTGATAACAGGCCAGAGACAGGAGACAAGAGACAAAAAATGCTTATGGTTATAGACCAATAAAAACAGCAAGCACATTGTGGGAGAGCATGAGAGAATAACCGACTGCAGGATACTTTATCGTGCTATGAAAAATAACTAACGGAAGCACTCAATAGTAAGCGAATAATTAAGTGCAGTATGGTATTTATTTGTAACTAAATTCTAAGGATTCTCTCAGTGCTGTGCAGCACATGGAGGTGAGGATGCATCCGTCAAAGGTCGAATTTACAGTACAAGATGTGAAATTTGAACTGAGTGTGCTCAGTCTTTCAGCCGGTGTCAAGTCTATAGCTTCATTTCAGTCAACACGCTCTGCTTGCCTGAGAAAAGTCGAGGAGGAAGTCAAACAGCCAGCCGGACATTGCAAACAATCAATATACCCGCTTTCATTTTGTCAACGAGCATCAGCACACACATGCACGCAGCTTGTCAGTTTCCATGTATGCGTGTGCGTAACGGAACATTAATTAACAGCAGAGCAGCTAATGGCAGCTGCAAAGAAAAAAAAAAAAAAGAAATGAAAAAGAAAATAAAGAAAATCCGTATGGCGTTTATCTAAAGCTCACACTTGGCGCCATTTAGCTCAAGTGTGTAAGTGTGTGGGTGCGTGTGTGTATGTGTGTGTGTCTTACACGAGCGCCTATTCCATTTCCTTTAGCATTTACCGCCGGAAAAATACAGAAAAAAAAAACAAACAAACAAACTTTGCACTCTCAGTTGGCAACAAACTGTGGAAAAAACTAATTAAATAAGTTATTGTTTTTCTTCAAGAACTATTCTCATGAATTATATCTTATGTAAATAAAAGAGAAATACAGGAAGAAGAGCAGAGATAATTAAATGTCTGCTCAATTGATATATTAAATTGTTTAAATGTCTTCATCTACAGATTTTAAAATGGCTCAAGAATTATTTAGACATAGACATATCAGAGACAATAAAATATAAAATATACAATGTGTATATTCTTAATCAGGATCAAGTGACGATTAGATATAGTACTGCTCGACTGTCCGTCTATTCGTTCAGCTTAAAGACATTTATATTCATATTTATATCTGTGAGGCTACCATCACCAAACTTAGTATTATTGGTGCAGGGTATCTCCTAGTCGGGTATTTTCTCTGTGCATTTCTGTATAAAAGTGTAAATGTGTAATGTCCCCTCAACACTATCTAGACCTTTGCTTAATTGTTTATTTTCCCACTTTCAGTGACGCTGTAGTTGTCGTGTCTGGCTTATCATAGTGTCATAATCGCATTATTAACATCGTATTAAATCTCAATTTTTTGCGCTTTAGGCTAAATTTTTTATGCGGCGATAAGGTAGTTTGAGTGCCATGAAATATTTCAATTTGTATACCGCTTTTTTTCCAATTTAATTAAATCACTTTTTTATGCGCGTTTCTATGTTTTTCCTCTTTCATTTCCAAGTGTTGACAAAAAATATTTACGCTTTTTTATGGTCAGCAGTTGACTTTAATATGTCATTTCAGTTTTATATTGAATGCGTTGACTGTGATTGATGATCAAATCTATGAATATACATTAATTCCCTGTAAACGGAGAATTTTGGGTTTTACAATAGATAGAGGAAAAAATATGTCTAAAAGAAAAAGTCTAGAGTGATTCAGGCAGCAGCTTTGTTCAGTTCAGTTCAGGGCATCTTCTAGTCGAGCAGTCCTGCTCAAACGACATATTTACGAGCTCATTTGTGCTTTGGGCCATTCCGGCAAATTGGTTCAAAAACTGTTGAATAAATAATCATATTTTGTGTTCTTAGCGCAGGCAAAAAGTTGTTTTTGATGAAGTTTGTGATGTGTGATGGCGGTTGTCTGCTGTCTGCTGTCTGCTGGCTGTTGGGTGTTGGCTGTTGGCTATGGCTGTCTGTTGTCTTGTGTCTGGCATATCCATCAAAATCAAATAATTGACAACTGCCAACAACAATAACAACAACAAATATTTTGAAGCAAAGTTTTTGCTCGTGCAGCTGTTTGCAGTAAGAAAACATGAGAAACAAAATCTGAATTGCTATTGCGAAAGGCCGAACAGGATTTAAATGTGAGCCGAAGCTGGAGTCGAACCCATTAGCCACAAGCAAACACCTTCGTTGACATGGCTGAACATTTGGGCGAGACATTTGATTTGCCAACTCGCTGACTTGACTGATTTACGATGTCGCAAATATGTTTATCAACTAACTGTATATACATATATATCTCGCAGATGTATATACGAATGTGTGTGCGTGGCAAAAGTTGTATCTATATCGTTAGCCAATTAACTGCTACGCCCAGCTACTCAGCGCTGCGACAGGTGTTTGCTCTATTTCCATTATGTCCTCAAGCAAAAGTCTCTCGGCTACCGCAAATATTAGGCCTAAGCCTAATTTAGTGTGAAGTGTAAGCGTATTCGGGCTTCGCACTTCTGCCTCGCCACGCATTAGATTTTCAATCAATTATCGCTTGAATTATGTTGGCCTGTTTGACCAGCTTAGCTGCTGCTGCTGCTGCTGCTTTAATGTTGGCTTTAAACGCGCTCTGTGGCATTTCAAAATTGATGCGAACTGCATTGTAGCATAAAGTATGAAGTTTACCGTCGTTCCATACAGCTGCACAATTTCGCAATTTAGCATCTGCCTGAACAAGATGCAAATGATGATTCTAATGAGCCTTGCCACTGCGCCTTTCACCTGTCGCACTGCCGGCAATGGACACAAACCACATAGAGTCAAATGACGATTGCCACAGCTGAACTCTATGCTTATTTAGTCACGCAAACGAAGAATATTCAGACTGACATGGACACACATACAGCTACGCCTATGGAAACTTATACGGCTATAGAAAAACTAGAGTGAACGACAGCGACATCTATCCTTCTATAGGATTTGGTAGACTAATTGCCTACCCACAGAGTGCGCGGCGAGACTGTTCTCCTATGCCCTGTTGGCATAGCACACAAATTGTGGGTATCTCTGACCCCATAAACTAAAGTGTACTGAACTCTAAATGCATATTGGTATATCAGCTCGTATGTATATATCCTATATATGTAGTCCTATATTCACTGCTACTTTCTTTTTGCATTATATACTATTTTATTGCTATTTTCTTTTTCCGGAAATTTATAAGTATCGATTTTCCTTTTACAGTTGTATACTTAAAGCTCTCTCAAAGTAATCTAAAATCCACTTCAAACTGTTGAAGTGTGTTGAGCTTATTGGGTATCTGTCGGTCGAGCAATTGACACTCCTTTGTTCTTTTGATTTGGCCACATCAAGTTTCGTTTTGGGTTATTGAGTTCGACGATTGTGTCCCTTGTGGCTAGACAGACTCGCTCTGTTATGTTGTGATACGCTGTTTATTTGGGCTAATGTGTCTGGCAAATGCAGAGCTTATTAGCTTAATTAAGATACTTGTGGTTGAATTGATTTCTAATTTAATTCTCTTCTCCTCCCCCTCTTATTCTTTTTGCAGAGCAGCATGCTTTAAGTGGCCAGCCGAGATAGAGTTTAGCAATGCAGGAGACAAACATGGCCCAGAGACAGCTGGACGAGAGCGTTTCGCTGAATGAGACGCTGCTCAAGGACTTGGAGATAACGCGTGGCGACATTCAGGATTTCGTAAAGCTGCTCTTCGACTTCCAGAAGAAGAATCAAACGCAACAGGACGAATGCCAAGGCTACTGTCAGGGCGAAATCTACACCTGGCTGCGTGCGTACAATGGCATCCACGGCTACGTCTCGCTATTGGTGAGTAATCCCAGTCCCAGTCCCAGTCCCAGCCCCAATCCCAGTCCCACTCCCAGTCCCAGTCCCACTGCAGTTCCCTCTCATTAGCAACAACAAACAAGACTGGGAACTAATTATCTTGGTGTCGCCCTGTCGCGTTACACAACATTTTTCATTTGGAATACCTCTCCCCCTTTACGATCCGTCACAATGTCAACCCTTTTAAACTGCTAGCCGAGAAGGTCCTTTTTCTTTGTTCGCCGTTGATGAATTCGCGCACCTTTGAACTTATCCAAATTTCCATTTATTTTTTGGTCTGACCACAAAAAGAGATTAAATGAATTTCTTTCTGTTTACATAATTCATAAGATGTTTTAAAAAATATTTTTTGTTTACATCTCCTAGACAAAAAGCCAACGGCATGAAGACAATGCTAAATTGGTAGTTAAGAAAGGCTTTGAAGCAATGAGTTAGAAAAGTTCACATTCAAGTTGCCGGAGAGAATCCCATTTGGCACGCCTTAATGGGGTGATTTATAGGTCTATCTCTGGAGCAGGATAATAGCTAAATTCTAGCTATATTCTGGCTTCTAGGCTCTAGACTCTAGCTATATAGTTGTTGAAGCTATAAAGATTATCCAAATATTCCAGAATTCTAAATAGTCATCGATTTATCTCTTTCTTAACTGTTCTTACTATTCAACGTCATAATCATATTCATATTTTGCAAGTCTCTAATTTAATTCAATTAGATATCTAAAATTTCATTAGTCTTCTTCATCTTTTATTATAAATTTGAGAGTGCACAATTTCATCAAGATACACAAAGAAAAGGCTCAAGGTTTCTGCTTCTGATAAGTTGAAAAACAAAGAGGAAATCAAATGACTGCTCAGTGTGCCGAGAGTGCCGAATTAGAAAGTGAACTGAAGCAAAATGATATGTTGGTCAAACAGGAATTAATAATTACATCAAATCATTTTCGTAATAATTTACATTGCAATAAAACTTTTAGCTTGTACGTTTCTTTCATTGTCCATCCATCCATCTATCTATCTATCTCTCTCTCTCTTTTTCTGACGCTCGCTTATTCCCCTTTGCTCAAATGTGTGAGCGAGTAAAGTGTGATATTTATTATTTGGTCAAGTCATGTGTGAATCTGCATTTGAATAAAATGTTTGAGAAACTTTACACTGAAAGGGTTCAAGCTTTTAAGGAAATAGAGGTTCCGTGTGTGCGTGTGTGAGTGAATACATATATATTGTGGTCTACTTTGCTTGTGGTGTAGTTGGTGTGAGGTTTCTATTACTGTGTTCAGACAGACATGGCCATGCATGGCTTTGTTTTGACACTGGTTCATGGTTATTATTATGCCCTATACTCTATGGAAGATGTGCAAACAATGTAGGTACATGTGGCCAATCACTTACAATGGAATCTGTCTGTATAAACGTGTGAAGCACAAGCTCGAGAAAGACTCTCTCTTTCAGTTCAGGAAGTTTCCATAATTATTCTTTGCAGGGTATCGTTCCACTCATCATGCTCAAGCACCGTTTGCTTGGGCTTCCGCCTTGATTTACGTTAGGCAGTGGGATCGCATAATTATTATTTACAGGACATCTTTCCGACCATTATCCCCAGCTACCGCTTGCTTGCCTAATAGTTTTTTATTTTCTATTTTCTATCTCCTTTTTTACCATCCTTGGATTTTCCCGCTGCGTAAAGATTTGCATATTCGGGACAATAGCCAACATACTAAACATAATGGTGTTGACCAGAAAGGAAATGGCCAAGGCGCCCATTAACAACATATTGAAATGGCTGGCAGTTGCTGATATGTTTGTGATGCTCGAGTACATACCCTATACGACATATCAATACATCTATATGAAGCCAGGTGGGTGAAACAAGTTTTTGAATAAATTTAAAGAAATATTTGATTGTCTTTTAAAATCTTTTTAAAAATCTCAAAATTGATTTACATTTTTCTTCAAATCTAATCATATTTTTCTTTTATTTAACTATGTCTTTATTAACTATCTAACACTTTTACAGGCGAGAAGGATTTGAGTTACGCATGGGCTGTTTATTTGCTGGTCCACATGCACTTCACACAGATTCTGCACACGATTTCGATTGGCTTGACTGTTACCCTGGCTGTTTGGCGCTACGTGGCCATCAGGTGAGTGTCAAGTGTAGCGTTGATAATGTTTGGCCCCAGCACCTCGTCCCCACCCTGAACTCCTGCTGAATCCGGCTAACTGAATAATATGACGGAAAATGTGGCTTCTCTTTCTCTCTTTCTCTGTTTTCTGTCTTTGGTTCTGTTCTGTTCTGTTCTGTTCTGTTTTTCTGCTTTATAGCAAACTATTTCCATCTCTAATCCACAGACATCCGAATGGCAGCTGCGCCAATTTTCTGCTCGCACATTCCAGGGAGGCGATTCTCTTCCCCTTTATCGTCTCGCCCATTCTCTGTTTGCCCACGTACTTTGTGTTCAAGGTGCGCGAGACACACGAGATGGACACCAAAGAGCACGAGGCCATGTATCATGTGTACTTCGACACGGACTCTATGCTATTTAGGTGAGTTGAGCTGAATTGGTTCAGAGTGACCAGCAGATACCCTTCTAAATTTCTCTCTTTGTTCTTGTAGATTCAACTTTTGGATACATTCCGTGATAATTAAGCTGCTTCCCTGCTTCATTCTAACCGTTATCAGTCTGGTTCTGATGCACGTTCTGTGCGAAGCTTCGCGAAGGCGTCTCAAGCTGAAGGACTACGACAATCCCACCAAATACGCCATTCAGCTAAATCTTAATGAATCAAAGTCTAGGCGGTACGTAAAATAATTTATTAATATTTCATCAATTTACATCAAATGTTCATTTTTATATAAATTCCTCTTCTCAGTTCAATCTGAACATCATCATTTAATTTCTCTTCATCATATGATGCCGATTTCAGTTTCAAAACCGAACATCACCTTTCATCAAAGTTTTAATTTCTGTTTTCCATTTTCCATTTCTGAATTGGATTGCCTGGATTTGCTCTTCATGCATCTCATTCCTTCGCTTCATCCATTTGAATACAATTGTTGACTGTCATCCTTACCTGTTTTTATGCTTTGTTTAACCTGATATGGGTTCTGCAATTGGGATGGAATTCGTCACTTTTCGTTCCTCTTTTGCCCTTTGGGCCAAGTATGCTTGTTTGATTTACCTTTACCTTTACCATTTCTTCAAATTCCATTTATATTTCGCTGTTTCACGGCTTAAGTTCAGCCTTGGGTTTGCCTCAGTTAAGTTCCATTCCACTGTTTCACATTCATCATTGTTTATATGTTTTCAGTAATTTTACCAATTTCTATTTGCTTTCCACTGTCTCATATTCATTTTTAGTGTCATCCCTACTCGCTGCTTCTCTTCGTTTGCTTAATATATTTGTATGTATTTCGTTGATTTTCATTTCATTGCACTGTTTCGTCTTTAAATAACTCTCTTCGTTGTTTCATTTTACTTGTTTCACGCTACTGAATGCATTTGCTCCATTCTGTGTTTCGCTCTCCTTCTAATCGTTTTACTTCTCTCTGTCTGACTTGTGTTTCCCCTCTCTGCAGACCTCCGCGCTGTGATCGTCGCAATGATCGAACCACTCTCCTCCTGGTGGCTGTGCTGATACTCTTCCTGGTCACGGAGTTTCCGCAGGGTCTGCTGGGCCTGTTGTCTGGCGTGCTGGAGAAGTGTTTCTTCGCCCATTGCTATCCGCCCTTCGGGGAGCTGATGGATCTGCTGGCACTCATCAATGCGGCTGTGGGCTTCGTCCTCTACGGACTCATGTCCAAACAGTTTCGCACCACGTTCCGGTCTCTGTTCTTCAAGCGTCACTTCGGCAGCAGCGAGATGACGCGCCTCACTCGAGTGACCACCACCTGTGTCTAGAAGCGACTGAACAGACGCAGGTCGAGAAGAAGTCAGACATAGATGATGACAGATCGATTGATGATGATCGATCGATTGCTTCGATTGAGATTTCGAATTGAATTTGGTTATGGGGGCATCTCAAAGATGCGCTTTGAAGTGAGCTTTGAAAAAGCTCAGCTGAAACTGTGAGCCAGGGCGTTTAGGGTATACCAAAACTAGGAGAAACCGTCGAGTCGAGTCGACCCGCCGCGTTGCATATTTTGTAGGGCATTAAGTGTCATTTCCATTTAGCAGACACATAAAACGAGTTTTGAAACGAATTTTTTAATACAGCTTGAAATTAGATGTATTATCGATATATATCGATTTATTGATATATATTCATATAAATAATTATTAATTTACTAAACTGAACTATTCATGATTCTGAGATAAGAAACGCCAGCGTTTATTAGCTCTTAAGAATTATATACGATTTTTTATGCATACATTAAAAATAAATTTAATAAATATGTATAAAATAAATATGTATAAAATACGAAATTAAGAAATGGAATTTGACGAAGCGAGAATTTGTAAGGAGATAAATAAAAAAACAAAATTATTCAACACTAATTATTAAATAGGATTTAAAGTTGAGTTTAAAATTATAAACTAAAAATATGATAAAAAAAAAAAAAAAACAAAATGAAAAAAAAAAAAAAAAAGAAACTGGTCAAAGAGAACAAAGCAGCAAATGAGCCCCTTGAGCTGTTTTGTTCTCTTCTTCCATATGAACTTTATAAACAGAATTAAGTACACACAATTCATTAATATTATGATACCAACATATGAATATGTAAATATATATGTATACTATATAGATATATTAAGTAGATGTAATTTAAATGTAGCTTTAAGGTCGCGTGGCTAATGTATTTGCATTGGCTTCAAATCTCACGCATTTGTTTTCACGCTTTTTGATTTCAATTTTGAACAAGTTTCAAATAAATGTTCGATGTGAGTTAATTATTTCAGCTCTCTCTCTCTCTCTCTCTTTCTTTGTCTCTTTGTTGTTTATCTCTTTTCAATTGCCAGTGCTGACCACAGCATTCACTTCTAGCGGTAGTTCATCCTGCAACACATCCCGGTTGGCTGCATCCGCCTCTCCTGCTCGCATGGAGTCGTCGCCATCGCCTAGTATACCCTGGCTGTGCGTCGAGATGCGCAGCAGCGACTTTAGCTTTGTGGCCTGGAATTTATACTGAACAAGCAGTGGGACTTATATATTGATGGAATTGCAATAAAGCCTTATACGAATTGAACGATTACAAACAATCCCTAAGGGTGTTTCTCCCTCTCTCTGTCTCTGGTGTCTAAAGATAGAAAATGATTTGGTATTGCAATTTCATCTTTAAAGATCGCAATCTATGCTTCACATACTTTCTGCTCGACCCCATCTATAATATATTAATAATATACCTCATCCTACTTTTAAAAATTTCCCTAATTTACCTGATTATTTATCCAATCTGTTAAGCCAATTAAATGTTTTATTCTCGTTCCGATAAAATTTCCAACTTTCACTTCGATTTAATTAATTTTTAGGACTGTTTTGTATATGACGGTAGAAAAGCTACAGAAATATTTGTGTCTTGAGTTCTAAAAAAAGGATGAAGAATTGGAGGGAGTAGAAACAAGTTGTGGTATATGAAGGAGGAGGAAGAGGGAGAGAAGGTAAGCGAGAATGTAACTTAAGGGTAATAATATGAAGGTGGTAAGATAACAGAGCTGTGGTGGTAAGAAGAGGTGTAGTGAGAAGGGGGGGAGGAGGATGGGAAAGGTGAGAGGAGGATGTGAAAGTGGATGACGATGTGGAGGAAGGCGATAAAAGAGGATCAGGGTAGGAATCAAACAAAATGTGCTAATCAAATGACCTGGCCAGGAGCCATTGGGCACGCTGGTAGAGCACGCGACTTACTTCAGTGGGCAGCAATAAATCCTGAGCGTGACTCATGAAGCGGTTGTAGTGCTCTGTGGCCAAGGCCAGACGCCCGGTCTCAAAGCAGAAGAGCGCAAAGTTGAGGAACACCAGCGGATGTCGCATATTGCCGCTGGCCAGGCTGCAGGCACGCTCGAGAGCCACAAACGCATTCTCCATGTCGTCCAGCTTGCGCAGGCACACTAAGAGAAAGTGTGAGAGAGAGAGAGGGTATTCCCATTTCATTGACTGACTTTCTGTTGAGCACTTACAGCCCAGGAGCATATAGCACTCGGCATTGTCCTTGCGTAGGTTGATGGCTGCGGCCAAAGTGTGAAAGGCGCTCGCATATTGTTCGGCTGTTTGACGGTCGAGGAGTCACGTCAACATTAAATATTAAATACAAAGCAATAACAAAAAGATACTGCTAGACAACAACAACAAGGAGGCGGGGAAGGAGAAAGGAGAACGGGAACAACAATGAGCATAAAAAGTGCAAATATTTCAAGGACCTGTCAATTGTTTTTTATGTTTCTCGTTTCCTTTATTTTTGCGTTGTTTTTGACATTTATGAAAGGTCCCAAAGGCTCATTATTTTTGTTAGGCTGTTGCTTTTATTGAGTGGGCTTGTTTCCTATGGATGCGAGGGTCTCGGCCGCGCAGGAAGGCAGAAGAGCAGCCAAGACTTGGTGGCTGTCCAAATATAATCAATATGAGTATTACACTAATTGTAATTTGAAGGTCAAATTCCATAAAAAAACCTACAATTTTCTGCCTAAAAGCTAAGGAAGGACGCCTGCATGGAAGGACGGAAAGAAACCTTTCAATGCAAATGTATAAATAATTATTTTGTGTATAAATATAATATTAAGTGTAATGTGAAGTCTATGTTTGGAAGAAGACCTACAGACCAATATAGGTCAATAGGAAATTAATACAAATTGTATTGTATTGAGTATTGAGGACTAACTTTGTATAGGCGGAGAGTGGACGGGAAACTCTGAAATCCGGGCTCTGTTTGCGGAAGGAAGACGGTGCTGTAATTATTGTATCATAATTGTGATGTTAATAGAGCTTGAGTTTGTAAGGGGAGAATAGGAAAATCTTGGGCCCAGTTGACTGTCTTTTCCGTACCTCTTTAGATTTTAGGAAGTATTACATAAAAGGAAGGAAGTAAGTATTAGAAGAGGTAGTCCTCTATGGTCGATTGCCTTAATCATTTGTACGGTTTACATTTTAAACATTTATTTACAGGGTATTTCAATAGTCAACTACCCTTCGTAGGCAATACTCACAGGCAATGTATATGAGGCTTAGATTGTAGAGCGCATTGTAGTTGAGGGGTGAGAGCCAAATCGATTTGCGTAAAGATGAAATCGCCTAGGGAAAAAATCAAGTCACTCTCCCTCTCTCTATCTCTGTCTCTTTGTCTATTTGAGTCAGTTTCTCTGCTTACCACAATGAACTTTTGCTTTTTGAAGAAGCACAGACCAATGTTGTTCCAGAGCTCCGCAATTTCCGGCTCGGCATCTGCGATTTGGCTGTATTTGCTTAAGGCGCCGTCTACATCGTTGCGCGACTGTCAAAGGTGTCGCAAATCGTTCAAGAAATTTGAGCGAGCAGGTGTTGCCAATCAACTGCTCACCTGTAAAATGGCGCCCAGGGCCAGCAATCCTTTCGGCTCGCAGTTTCCTGCGAAATTCACAATTTCAGCCAAGCGATCAAACGCCCTTTGCGTTTCATTGATTTTCAAGTAGAGCACACTGATTTCTGTCAGCACTTCCACATTCTCCGGCGTGAGACTGAGATGGAAATGAGAATGAGAAATATGAACTAAATAGACTCGAGACTTGTACTAACTGCAGACAGGCCTCGAGCACATCGATGGCCTTCTGGTACTCCTTCTCCTTGCGGTAGAGCTCGGCCAGTCGAATGTAGCTCTCCTGTTTCTTGCCCGTTTGCACGGCCCGCTCGAAGTACTCTCGCGCCTCCTTCTGCTGCTGTCGCGCTGCCTCCAGTTGGGGCTGTGTGGCGGCCGAGCGATAGAGCAGCTCGCCCAGGTAATGAAAGATCTCGTGATCCGGTCGAGGACTCTGCTGTTCGGCATCCCGAAATACGCTGAGTGCTTGATTGTAGCGACCCATCAGGTAGCTGGACAGAGAGAGAGAGAGAGAGAGAGAGAGAGAGAGAGAGAGAGATAGAGAATGTTTTCTTATAACTTGGACCCAATGATACAAATGTGATAAAAGACGTGATCTAAAAGTAGTGGAAAGAAGAGCGGAAGTAACCTATATACTCTTCAGGAACATCTCGCATAAATGGAGGATGCTTAAGCATGGAACATCTTCTTTCCACATTATTCTATTTGCTCTCAGCCCAAGTCTACACTGAAACTGAATGCATAGCCATGTTGGCCAGTGTGGTTGACCTACAGAGTCCTTCCGATTTCCTTAAAGTTCTCAATATTTTTGGAGTTCAGCTCGGCTGCCCTTTGAAGGTTGCGCAGCGCCTCGATGTGATTGCCAGCTTCGCGGTCAATTAGGCCCTGGGGTGGATCAACGTGAGTGAATAGTTCAATATAATTTCGGTCGAAGTCAGGCACTCACCTGCACGAAGTACAGGTACTCCGCATTCAAATGACGATTCAGCTCACGCGCGATGAGTCGGCGGCATCTGTCGAATTGGCGGCGTGTGAAATAAATGTGGAGCAGCCAATCGATGTTTGCGTCTGTTGGCATTTTGGGCGCTAATTGAAGATTGTCGTCAACAGACTGTCCACTCCCCCTCTCTCTCTCTGTTTCTATCACCCTCACCTGGTTTTACTACCTGCAGCGAGGGCAGTTCTATGAGAGCGCCGTTACAATTGATTTGCTCACTGCCCGCTTCGTACATCTGACTTCAGTTTGGCTGGGCTCCAAAAACAGAGTTTTATCTGATTAACGCTCATGTGTTGTGCCTCTTCCAGGTTGCCATGGCTTCGTCTAGGGTTGCCACCCTTGGATAAAAACAAAGCTGTAAACTCCAGTGAGGTCTACAGAAAAAGCTAACTTTTTGTTGTCCCCCTTTGTTGGTTGCCATGGTTCACTCTAGGGTTGCCACCACTTGCTCAACTCAAATTTTAGGGCTGTCATCTATGTTGAAAACAATGCATAACAATTTTTGCCTTGGCTCCGTTTATCTTTAAGGCTTTTCATAGCCATTTCTGACTTTGATTTGTCATCGAATTCACCTGACAAATTAATTAATGCACGTGTTTTTGTGTCTTTGAGCCCGATCAGTTGTAAAAAAGTCTCGAAAAGGCCTTTTCAGCCAAATGTCCGAATTTTTAATTAGTGTTGAGCCAAAAAGCGCCGATGCCAATTGAAATGCAATAAAATCAACGACAAATCTGACAGACAAGGCAAAATATTTCACGAATCAATTGCAATTGACCAAGCAGCGAAAATAAGTTTGGTATATGTGTGTCTGAATGACTCGCAGATACCCTGGAAACAGCATAGGAATAATAATAGAAAATAGAAAATTTGATATACGATAACTGCATAAATTCATTAGACTACTTAAGTCATGTATACCCCATATTTTTAGTTTTGTAGGATATTAATTGCCGACAAAACAAACAAATTAAATCGAGTTTTCTTGTAGCCAGCCAAATAGGAAATGTTGCTCTACCTCTACCGCTCTCCCCCGAAGCTCCCACCTGTCTCTGCACATTTACAGTCTCTGCTGCAGATGGGATTGATAGAGGCCCTCTTCTGCTCTCTCCTTCCTCTCACGCATTCTACTTCTACATCTGTTGTCTCTATGCATATTCTTATATGTGAAATCCCTTTCTTCTCCCTTATACTGGGCTACGTATTCCACTCTGCTCTCTCCTAGACGCCTCTCATTCGACTGCTTCTCTCCGTCCGTCCGTCTTCTATTCCCCCCTGTCCCCATCCTCTTCCCCTTCCCATACATCTGCTGAGGTGTATAATTACTCAATTTCCAACTGACACGCCTCACGCAGGTGAGAAACTCGTCTTGTTTGCGCTCCATTTGCGGCTGCCGCCATTTGATCGTGATCTACATTCACAATAAACAATTCACAATTATCAATTCACAATGACCAAAACCGAAGCGTAAATCCATTAATGCACTTTATATATATTTCGCACAAGATCACAAAACTCGGCTTGGACTCGATTGCGGCCAGCATCAAAGTGTTTTGGCTTCTTTTTTAGCTTTTAGTTGTAAAAGCCAATAACAAATTTCACAATTTAAATTTCGAAATGGCAAATGCGAAATGAGTTGTTTCTTTTAACGGGAATCATACAAGACAGTCAAAAAGTAATGAATAGATGACAGAACAGATGCCCTTTATATATGTAACGTATATATACCCTGCATATATATGCTCTATCTTATATGTATAATTTGCTAAATTTTTTATAAAAGTAATATTACATAAATGAATTGAAACTATTTTATGTTTTAGCGTGTATTTACTGTATAGAAATAGAGCAGACCTCAGTGCTTCTCAAACTGTGTCATAGCCAAGACATAAACCTTGAAGCGAATTAATGGCTGGCCAAGACATAAACCTTGAAACGAATTAATGGTTGCACTGCTTGCTGGTTGTGTAACTTGACTAAGACATATTCAGCCAAATAGCTGACATTCTGAATTGGTTGCCGTCTCGGCTAACTAGCGCCATCTATGTTTGGATTGAGCGTGTGCTTTTGTTCATTTGGCGGCAAATTTAAAAATATATAAATATAATTAGCAATAGGTGAATGATATGCAGTTTGAATTCATTCAATTCAAGATCGAACTGAAAGTTATCTGTTTTTGAGCTTACTGTCGCCATCTATGTATGAAGGACTTTCACACATTCGGCGGCAAATTAAAAACTAATTTAAAATTAATTTGGAATAATTACTTAACTAAAAATAAAGTTCTTTCTGCTTGCTTTCTTTACGCTGTGCAATTTTTGAATTGGTCATTTAACGCTTTAATTGTTTTCTGTTCTGTGCCTCTTTGTGTTATTAAATTGTTCCACCAGCAAATGAAAGAGGAACAAGCAGAAGACGCAGAATAACATAAAGTCAAGCGTGACATTTTTCAGATATTTCTTGGCCGTTTCGCTCTCTTTTCCTCAGCTTGGGCACAAACAAAATAGCCGCTAAATGATTTACAGCCCATTTGGCTGGGACATGATCTTTAGCTTTAGCTCGAGAGATGCCGAATAAAAGGGAGAGGGCAACAGTTGGAGGTACAGAAAGGGAGAGAGAGAGAGATCGATCGAGCAGGAGCAACAGCTTTTGAGGGCAGCAAGTGGGCTGGCCAAAAAGGGTTTACGCAGGGGGCGTGGCAGGCAGAGGGCGAGGCAGCTGGCCAACCGGTTTATGCAACTGCGCAGTCTTTTTTTTTTAAAGCTGTTTTTGGCTGCATTTTGTGCAGGTTTTTTCTTATTGTTTCTTTTTAGCTTTTTAATGGCGAAAGCTTGTGTCATTTCCTTAGCTTTTTTTGCTACAGTTTTTATTTGATTTGTGGGCTTATTTTTGTTGTTGTAGTTTGACGGCAGTTTAGGTCTTTTGCCCTATGTGAATTATTTAGCTTTTCCTTGTACTCTGTTGAGTTTTTCATTAAATTATTGACTGAAATATTTGTTTGTTTGGTTTAATAAGTTAACATTTAGCACGTTTTGGAATCATTTTGCCTCAAATGATGCAAATTTAGCTGCATTTTGTGGCATTTCTAAAGCTTTTTTTGCGGCTTTCTTATTTTGTCCTTTATTTTATTATTAATTTTATTTCACATTTACTATTAGAAATTTTTAAAAGCTATTTTTGGTTGCTTTAAAGTCATATGCATTCAGCATTTTTTGCTCTAATATTATATTCTGCTACATTTTCAAATATTTGTTAGTGTTTTTCAGACTTTCGCTGTTTTTTATTTGACTTTATAACTGTTTATGCAGGCTTTTCCGAATTTTCGTTGCTGATTTTGGCCCTTATTTTGTCAACTTTTTAAAATTTTCGGCTTCACAGTTTAGCTTTTTTAGCTTAGCTTGCTTACAGCTGTTTTGGTTGCAGTCTTTTTCTGGCTTCAAGTTTTTGCTGCATTTTGTGTCTGCTTTCTGTTGCGCCTTGATTTTCGCTTTTTTCTACTCTTTTCTCAATTTTTTTTTGGGGCGCTAAAAAGGAAAATCAGCGCAAGAATCAGCGAACGATGCCTGTTGCTTGTTTGTTTGTTGTTGTTGTTGTTGTTGTTGGAGCCGTCACCCAGATTATCTGGGCAACTGGAGTAACCAGTTTTGTTGTTGTTGTTGTTTTTGCGTGTTTCTGCTGTTGCTGTGGCATGCAACCTAAATATAGAACTACAAACTATATATATAAATATTTACACATATATATGTATGTATATTCCATATATACAAATTATATTCCACATATATACTCTTAGCACTCTTCTTGTCTATCATATCCTCTTCTTGCTTTTTTTTTGGCTGTGCAAATCTTTGACTTCATTAAAATTTGAGTTTGGCGCGTTTTTTGTTTTTGCGTTTTTATCTTATCAGCCACAACACGCACACACACATACATCTCTCTCTCTCTCTCTCTCTCTCTCTTTGTATACATTTTCACCTTTCGTTTTACCTGTTGATTGTTTGTGTGTGGCACGCTGCGCTCTCTGCAAGTGGCAAGCGCTCGCTCGCCTTGCTCCGTTCTCCCTTTTCTCTCTCCCTCTGTTTCAACTGCCTTATCTCGGGCTCTCTCTCTCTCTCTCCCTCTGACTTTAACGCTGCGATCGGCCGCCTTTGCCGTTGTCATTCGTCTTCAAGCAACGATCGCGCGCGGTTCAGCGGCTTTTTGTGCTACACCGAAAAGTTTTTGACAACAAACTTCACTTTTTGCGTCATATATCAAAAATACCAAAAAATTGTTTAAAATATTAAAAAAATATTAAAGTGAGTGTATTGTGTTTTGTTAATAATTGTCAATATTTTCTTAAAAATAAATGTAATTGATCTGGTTTTTTGGAGAAATAAAAACCGGCTTCTATGATTCATAAAGAGTTCCGCGGCTGCAGCCAGTTTCGATTTTCGATTTTGTTTTGTTGACTCACTCGAAATGCAAAAATGAAAAACGAAAACAAATTCACAAGTTTTTAAATAATTTATGCGTAATCTTTGACGTAACAGCAAACGAAATAAAAAAGAGATAAAAGTGAAAAAAGTGTGAAAATTAAATGATTTAATTGCTGTAACTGTTACCTGTTACCTTATGCCAAACGGAACTTAATTAACTCTGGTTTATCTGCTTATCGCGCGTGTGACTAACAACTTTTAATTATATAGAACTGTTTGTCAGATCTGATTCTGTTTCTGCTTCTTCTTCTCCGTGCCCCTGAAATGCTCATATAGTCGAATTATTATGACTATCGTATTTCTATCTCTCTCTCGTTTTTTGTACTAAAAACGTTGTTGTTATTCGATTGATAATTGAGCTTGTGTATGGGCAGAAGACTGATTACAGTTACGATATTGGTGTATAAAAGTATTAGAGTTGAGAGTCTACTCCCAAGCTTATGCCTATAAGAACATTGGGATCAGTCTGTACAAGAGTATGATATCTTGGGAGTATAAAAGAAATTGAGTCCAAGAATTATTTAGAGACGATTTATATATAGCATTCACATTGGTTCAGCTCTTGATATAGAACACATAGGGTATTTTCAAGTCGAGCAGTGCCGCAGCAATACTAGTTACTTGTTTAGTTATTGTTTTTGGTGTGGAAAACATGATTTAATTAAAAAGCTGAAAATGTTTTTGCGCCCCGCTTGGCGGTTGAGTGTATTATACTATCTGTTTGTATTTGTTTATTTATTTATTTATTGTTTTTGCATTTGTTGTTTCCTTTCTCTTGTTCTTGTTAAGTTGTTTAAAATCGTTTGAGCTTTTTATGCCATATTTATCTGTATATAATATCTCTATATCATATATATTTCATTCACGTTTTTTGCGGCATTTTCGAAAATAAAAAATGAAATGAATTAAATTTTCAAGTTGCCTGCGCAACAATTTTTTATTTTCAAACAATTTGATTTGTGTTTTTGTATTCAAGTTGAAAGTTTCATTAAAAACATGCGAGTGAATAAAGTCGCTTGAGGGCTTCAGCTGATGCTGCAAAATGGATATGTTCAAAAACACACAATATAATATAATAAATAAAGAAAAATTACAATATAAATTATTTAAAAAGTGAATTCCAATGATTTGTAATATTTAATTAAACATATATGAATTTATAATCATAAATATATAATAGAATAGGAAAATAGCTAAGAGAAATAAATAATTAAAACAGCAGAGTATAAAAATGAATACGAAATTTATTAAAATAAAAAAATGTTAAACAAATTTAACACGAAATATATATATATGTATAATAAAATATAAATAATATTCAAATACATAAAAAGAAAATATATATTTTTATAATACCACACAAACGAAAATCAAATAGGAATTACGTCTTGGACTTAGCGGAAAGTGAAATTTTACTGTAAATATGATGTCATATGATTTGGCTTAGAGATAACTCCTCTATGTACTGCAGACATTCTATTGTCTAGAAGATAAATTCCTTTAGGCCAGATAAATGTGTCTGTTTAGCTAATTAACTAGAAATACGAACTAAATAGATGGAGATAGAGCTTATCAAAAAACTAAACCGAAAAAACAAACAAACAATTAATAATTCCACTTGAAACATCCAAAGTTCCCTTCTTCTGCTGGGCAATGAAAACAAAATGCAAACAATTAGCAAAATACAATAACAAAATATGCAGATATAGAAGATATATATATATAGTGCAGATGTATATACATATATATATTTATATAGACAGACATTGGCAGCCGCTGGTATAAACAGAGCGAGAGAGGGAGAGAGAGAGAGAGAGAGCGAGAGAGAGGGAGAGAGAGGGAGAGAGACAGTGGGAGAGAAGCAGAGAGGGGGACTCTGGGATTTAGCTGGCAACGTCTAGTGCCCGCACATATAGCCGCCATATAATGCAGGCAGTGGCGCTGACGTCGCTGTCGACGAAGGCAGCGACGTCGTCTGCCACTTGCTTGAAAAGATTCTTTGAGTTTTTTTATATTTTTTTTTTCGTGTGTAGTTCGAAAAACATTTCATAGCAAAAGTTTTCGGTTTTCGGTTTCGGTTTTCGCTTTTTTGCTTTAGTTGAGAGAAAATCGTCGCTTAGTTAACGTCGCCCCACAAAAGAACACCTCGAACGCAAAATAAATTTAAAGAAATCAATCAATTAACGACAACAGTGTGTAAAGATATCTGAGCCATATACTATACTGATATATATAGAGTTCATAAACTGACATCATCAGCAATAATAACAAATATATGAAAATAATAATTAGTGTTATCAAGCAAAAAGAACAGGAAACGACAGTAAACCAATCAACTACTACTTCTATCTTTCTCCTGTACACACTCTTCATCCACTCTCTCCCTCTTTCTCTATCTCTCTTTTAGGCCCTAACTTAGTGCTGGTGTTTATTGTAAATAAAAAGAAAAATTAAAGTTTTATGTGAAGTTTTCTGTGCATAGTTGCTGAAGGTTAAAACCGTAAAACCGTATATCGAAAAATAAGCACATATATCTATATACCCCTATATATATACACACACACATATATATGTATATTGGTATATAAGAAAAGAGCTTACGAAACAAAAATCTCGTGTACAAAAAGTCCAATTTTTTTAACCAACAGTTTCGAATTGTTCAAGAAACAACAACAACAACAACAACCACGATAATAACAAACAACAACAAACAAACAATTTATCTGGATTGAAGCTACATCGCCAGTTATATATATATATATACAACTTATATATATAATATATATTCACACAAAATTTTAAGAAATTTTTCAAGGTGAGTTTATTTTTAGTTGATTCGAAATGGCTGCGCAGATTTTCTATATGAAAGTTTTACTCTCGCTCTCCTAGTCACTCTCTCGCTGTCTCTCACTCTCTCTCTTGCTCTTTGAGTTACAGTATCTGACAGATACATTTACCTATTGCGCTGACAATTTACGAAATCTGTCTGCCAAATGCATTTTATTCTTCTTTTACTCGCTCACTTTACGCGAAACGGGCATATTGGCTGCCTGTTTCTCTGTTCACTGAGGACTTGAAATGTTAAATTTTGTTTGAATTCCACCCTACTTTATAGTTTTTAGATTTTTATGTATTTTAAAAGTATTTTGAATATTTTTCAGGTATTTCTACAATTTCGAAATTTTGTTCAAATAATTTACAAATTTCCTACAATATTTTTCTATGAAACAAAATAATTATTCAGAAACAATGAGCTACGAGAGCACCTATTCTCATTCAGATTCCATACTGCATCGAATTCATCAAGGCCGATCAGATTCTGCGAATCGTTGTAGCATGAGCCAGCATGGGGCAGTCGTATGCACTCGTCTCACTTGAGTTTATTCTATTCATTTTTGAGGCCATAATTTCTTTGGCATTTATTTTGTAATATATATGTTAAACATTTATATACATAAATATTGCATATATCTCATTTAAATAGGCGCCAACAAGAGAGATAGAAAAAGATATTAATGTATCTCTAGGTCAGCCTGAAATGTATCTTTCGTCTGTGTATTCTATTCAGTTTTGTATATATATATAAATATATATGTAAATTCGTATGATTCGACTGTACTCTGTCTGTTGATTTTCGCTTTGGCTGCGGCTCTGGCAATTGCGCTTTGCCGTTCTACGAGTATAGCGAGCTCTTTTTTTTTTCTTTCTGCTTGATCTATTTTCAGCCAGCAGGCCTGATTCTTCTTTTCCTCCTCTTGTTCTACCCCTTTTCGTTGCTCGTCCCACATCGCGTATACGCATTGCGCGCGTTTTGTCGCTGCCTCAGCCACAATGTTCATACGTAACACCGATTTTCCATTTTCCATTTTCCATATTTCGATTTTCCGATTTGTCCATTCAACATTTTGCCAAAAGACCACCACGCAGGCAGTCAGCCAAGGCACAAATGTGATGTAACAAGATAGACGATCCGCTCCTCCCCTATAGATGAACTCCCCTACTTATTGCTTACGTATTTTGGCAGTATCTGAAAAGTCTTTCCTGCCCTGTTTCTTCAGTATTTTCTGTTTATAGTCTTTTCGAATATTGCTTTGCATTATTCAATTCTTTTCTATTTTTTTTTTTTTCATTTTATTTACTTGGCTTTCACAAGCTGTTTATATAATTTTGGAATATTTGGGCATCTATCTATCTGAGCGCTTTGTATAGATTATTGGCTTATTTTAGTATTAGTTTCCTTTATTTTTTGTTTTCTTAAATTTGGCTTAGAAGCCCATAATCTTAAAATTTATATTTTAATTAACAACAAAAAGTTAACAAATTTTTTCCCATCTCCCATCTCCATATCCCACTTAAATGAAATTATATCGTTTACTCTCAAGTTGATTGAACTCTTCTATCTCGAATATCTGTCGCATCATTAATCATTCTCTATTTAGAGTTATACCTAAAAATCCATCGATCGACTCGCTGATAAGACTCAACGCGCTTTCAGTGGAACTTTGTTACTTGTTGCGCGATGATTCAGTGTGTTGTTTAGAACCCCTGATAACAGTTCATATATAACGGCGTCATTCGCGCTGCTCGTGAACAAGTGTTGAGCTCTTGTGGTGAGGCGAGGCGACTCGGAGTGCAGACAGAAAAGTGCAAAGTGGGAAGCAGGGAAATGCTTAGAGGGAAAACTGAATGGATTGCTTTGTCCACTTCGCCGCGCGAAGAATGCGTATTTTTATCAGCTTGGGTGCAATTAATTAGATAGACAGTGACGTCAGCTGCGGGCCACACATAAAATTGCAATAAGAAAAAAATAAGAGGGGGCAGCAGGAGGTGGAGGGATGCTTAGCAGGCGGATTGCTTCCTTCTCAACTGTAAATCAAGTCATAAATTAAATAGCGCGTCCGAGAGTAAGTGGGAATGCCCCTAATGAGAGCAGAAATAGCGCTCATTAGTTTCGTATTTATGCTGGCGATGAATGACCAACTGATTTACTTCATAGCCACGCCCTCCTAACGGCCCTACGCCTCCTCCTGCTCGCCTTGATCTGTGGGAAACTGAATGTAAAAGCATTCGCTGAAGTAAATATTTTTTAATTAGAGACAAAATGCGAGCTCAATTGCGAACGCGAATATTCATGAATACTGAATGAATGCATTCACTCACATGTGAATGCAAATGCATTTGTGCAGTTGCTGTTGCAGTTGAAAACATTTTACAAGAATTTAACCTTCATGAATTGTCATGGTAGATTGCCTTTCATACTCTAGCTCTCTCTCTCTATCGTTCTCTTTTACTCTGTATCTGTCTCTCTCAGTCTTTCGCTTATGTGCGCATTTTTCGCCTGGTTTCGTTTGTCATTCAGAGCAGAATTTTTGTACAACGTCGAACAACGCAAACAACATCAAAAGACCATAATTAAAATAACAGTTGACTCTGTTTGCACCAAGGTGAGAGAGTGAAAGAGAAAGAGAGAGCGAGAGCGAGAGTGTGCAGATATTACGACTTAATGGCATATTTTTCACAATAATAACATATCTTCCGTGCTGCACAAAGAATGAGATTTACCTTACAGGGTAGACATAATTTACAGGGTATTCATTTAAATGCAACACTCTGCATATGACAACAATTAAACTGTTGTCTCTGTCTCTGTTACTTTACATGTCCAGGTTTACAGACTCATGTACTTTCTATATATAGTCATATCTCTCACATATTATCTATATGAGTATATATTTATCTTGAATACCATCTATTCAGTTTATCACCAGGCCAGCTTTTATTGGACCCACAGCGAAATGTGTTGGCCGTAAAAATGGGAATAAATTTTAATGCTTGAAAATAGATTTAAATGTGGAAACATAGAAAATCACATTTTGATTTATGAGCACACGCTGCGGGGCAAACAGAAACACAAACCGAAACAGAAATCGAAACAACCAACAGAAACCGAAACAGAAATGAATAAATATAAATAATATGTTTATTGTTTTATAATTTTTATAACTCTTGTTAATTGCTCGTCAGCGGCTTGTGTTGGCGCCTCAATCACTCCCTCAGTCAGTCACTCCGTCAGTCAGTCAGTCAGTCAGCCAATCGGGCAAACTTGTTGAGATATGAAACAAAAAGTGTTTGCCAGTCACGTTTTGTGGTGCAGTGGCTCAGTGTGGTTTGCTGGTTTAGTGGTTGCCGCAGACAAAACTTTTTATCTAACGAAGATTTCGTATTTTCAGGTATTTTTTTCGCACTGATTGTGGGCGTTTTATTGCGATGGTTATGTAATTTGAAAGTGAGAAGTGCGTTGGGACCCAATGAGGGCGAATGGGGGCGATGAGGGCGACGTGCCGGCTTCACTTTTAGTCAAATTGCGAATTTCAAGTTGTATAACTCTGTCTCCTTCTGTCTCTACCTCGTCTCTAACCCTCTCTCCATCTCTCTTACTGAATGTAGGTCGTCCGTTAACCCAATTCATTGAGAATGGCGCATGAGAAAGTGAATAAGTGAATGAGTAAATGAGTAAATGTACTCACTGAGTGAATAATCCAGTTTAGACATTGAGCTCGCGATCGAATTCCTCTCAAAAGCTGAGTTTAAGAATGAGGGAAATCCCACACACTTGCAGAAAAATTGGTAACTAAATTGTATGGGTTTTTGATTTTCTTATAACTATTTAAGAAAGCACATCTTTATGAATAGACTACATAAGAAATCATAAATTAAGCTGTCAAGTAAAGCATTCATCATAATGAATGATTCAATGTGATATGAATAACAGGTTACTCTTATGCATACTGTATTATCAAATTAGTCTATCAGAAACATCCATCAATCACTTGATTGATTCATTTATACCTATATAAATACTATGCCTGCTCTGGTATATTTGTTTATATGAAAAATAATGTAAACTGATATTAGAATAGATAACAATTTGTTTAAGCTAGTATGCTATCGATAGCACTCGCGGGCTGCCACACTGTGCATACATATTGTAATAGGTCAAATGTGATGTACATATGTATATTTATGATAATGATGATATACTAAACAAAATATTTGCTAAACTTTAATTTGGATTTTACACAACTATTTTTAGTGCTATCCATGGATACAGACACATAAATTTGCAATGCTAAATTTAGAAATTATTGCCAAGATAATAAACCCCATGTCTACCCAAAGTCTCATAGAGTACTTCAAATAATTTTTAACGACCTTTGCTAACACTCTTGTAGCTCGTTTTGGTTTTTGTGGCCTTCATGTGGTTTAACTTGTACAAAAGATTTCAATTTCAATTACAATTTCAATTTCAATTTGAGTTGCCAAAACAAAAAAGAAAAAAAAAAAAATCATCTATTTCGATCGACAGGCGTCGCGTCAATGCCAAAGTCACAAATATCAAATTTTGTTGAAAAGCGAAAGAAAATGTCGGAAAATGAAGGAAAAGCTCAATGAAAAATTGAAGAAATTTGCGTCCTTACCCTTGGCAAGTGGCGTTAAAGAATTTCACTTGAGCTATATATATAATAATATATTTAGGTATATACTGAACTATAAAATATATGCCAGGGCAATAATATCTGCTCAATGAAATATCTATATATACTATAAACTATATACTATCTAGTAAAAGTATTAAAAATAATTTATAATTTGCACACGACTTGCCAAAAAAATCATGGAGACTTCTTCCCCGCTCTTTCGACCCCCTTCTCTCTGACTGCCTCCTTCTCGCTCACTCTGTTTGCGTGGGCATTGCGACAGCTGCAAATGCCAAGTGAGTAATTGTGATTGAATAAGCTCAACAGCTGGCCACGC